AGCTTCCTTCTTATCAATTTCACTGTACAGATTCAGACTCCGCTTCCTCCTTATCAGTTCTGTTGTCCTCAGAGTCACATTCAACTTCCTCCTTATCAGTTTCATTGTCTTCAGGCTCCAACTCAACACCTCTTTCAAGGAAAGGGTGACTCCTGGACATCTTTTTAAGTAGAGGAACACACTTTCTATAACCTAGGATAGGTGACTATCATTTGAATTCTAGGGCTGGAAGGGACCTTGAAGGCCTTCTAGTCCAACCCACTGGATCTTACAAACATATACCGAGTTTCATCCTTCAGGCTAAGCAGGGGTGGGATTCAAATTTTTTAACAACAGGTTCTGTGGGCGTGGCTTAGTTGGTGGGCATGGCTTGGTGGTCATGTGACTGGGTAGACATGGCTTGGTGGTCATGTTATTGGCTGGGCGTGGCCAACTCAATATCACTCACTTCGAGTTACGCATCTCCTCTCCTGGCCTCTCGTGACTGTGAGGATGCTGCAACAGTCGTAAGTGTGAAAAGGGGTCATAAGTCACTTTTTTCAGTGCCATTGTAACTTTGAATGGTCACTCCACACAAGCAAAGTACCAGCAAAGGAGAAAAAGAAAACTCCAGAGAAGTTCCTGAGACAGGAAGTCTAGTCCTGCCAAGAATGTAATAAGGGTTAACGGAGAGGCAGTTTCTGTGAGCAACACCAGAATGTTTCCTTCCTGCCTTCCTTACAGGATTAGGCCAGTAATTTCTTCTAACAACCGGTTCTCCAAACTGCTTAGAATGCTAACAACCGGTTCTAGTGAATAGGTGCGAACTGGTAGAATCCCAGCCCTGGTCCTTGGTACTCTCTGAGTTTGGTTGTTTTCTTGCAGATGTTTCATTTCCCAACTAGGTAACAGTGCTAGCTTTACAAGGGTCTTCAAACTTGGCAAGTTTAAGACTTGTGGACTTCAAGTCCCAGAATTCCTGAGCTAACATGACTGGAGGAGGAATTCTGGGAGTTGAAGTCCACAAGTCTTAAAGCTGTCAAGTTTGAAGACCACCAGTGAAACCCTTAACTTCTTTTAGCACAAATTCATGTTACCATTTAGTGGGGGTGACCATATTGCAGAATTTGAAGACCTCTTACTTACTAAATTCTTGAATGCTCTTTAAGCAACACCAGAATGTTTCCTTCCTGCCTTCCTTACAGGATTAGGCCAGTAAATTTCTTCTAACAACCGGTTCTCTGAACTGCTTAGAATGTTAACAACCAGTTCTAGCGAATAGGTGCGAACCGGTAGATTCCCACCCCTGAGGCTAAGCCACAAAACCATCCCACCATCCTTGTCTTACAGTTCAGCAAGTCGTATAAACTGGGTCTATATTGTAGCATCCACACACACAAATGGACCACTTTTGATTATATTGTTCAATAATCTTCTGTTTGTTTTTTCTACCATAAAAGTTCTTTGGAACTGCCTTCCTTTCAAAAATCATGGCTATAAAATAAACGATCGGCAATTGAAACTTTCTCCAAGCCAAACACGTAAGATTTTGCTTGTCTGAAACACCCCCAGACATACTAATTTCCCTGTTTCATCACCATGCGTTTATATACACTTGCCAGTGTCCATTTCTTGTATATTTTTTCTTGCAATGTTCCCTTGGCTGCTGCCCTGCATTGCAGTCATTCCTGAAGCAGTGAAATGGTCCTGATTCCTTCTCCACTAATAATTAGGGGCATAGATCAAAAGATCAGAAAAACCATACCAATATTCATGTTTACAGTCTCCTGTATCTAATTGAAGGTTGTCAGTTTTGGAAGCCAAAATGAACCTCTTTAAGGTTAGAAATGGGTTATAGTTTTTTTTTAAAAAAAAAAACAGCTTAGAAATGGACTATGACATTTCTTGAAATTAGCCTGTTCTGGTATTTAGCTGGAAGATCAACTGGAGAACTTGTAAATGCCATCCTGGGTTTCATTCTAGAAATTAATAACTGAATTTTGTAATTGGAAAAGGTTGATTAAACCACATGCAAAAATCAATTCTCCCCTTTCCCTCCACCTTAGCACCCACACATTCTGCAACAAGCTTCAATCTTCTTTAGTCTTTCTCTTCATTGTTTATTTTGTCGATCCTTTTCAAGTTCCACAGAGGTGAGCAAGATCCAGAAAGCAAGAACTACAAGAAAGCAAGAAAGCATATAACTCAGTCACATATCTTTACTGTCGCTCTGGGGTAAATGCAGAATTTTGGAAACCTTGTAGGAATTTCCTAGTGTCTTTCTAAATAATTAATTAAGGTTTGAGAAACTTGAATTAATTAAGGTTTGAGAAACTTCGGAGATGTTTTCTCTGTTTTTACCCCACTTGGGCTGATATGTCTGTCAACTCACTGCTTTATTGCTGTTATCTTTATCCTTTCCAAAGATTCCCAAAATCTCCCAAATTCACTTCCTTGGCTGTCATCAAAATAGTGGCCATCGTTCAAGGAAATAGTGATTCCTTATGAATCTATTTCATCTCTTCTTCGCACAAATAAACAAAGTAGAGAGTGACATCCCAACCCGGTATTATGGTTTATTTCCCAACAAGCTAGATTAATAAACCATAGTTAGCAGCCAAAATCCATTGCTACTTCTTCCTTTTGGGGACTCAAGGATGTGTGATTAATAGCAAGCTAAAAGTTCCCTTCTCCTTGTGTTTGAAGCTTCTTCTCCCATCTGCTACATTTTTTTTTTCACATCAATTTGGATTTCAAGGACACAAGAAATACTTAGAATGATGGTCTGGAAATAAGCAGTAATGCCAGGAAACAAACAGTAAGTATACTTCATGTCTAATTTAAACCTGATCAATTTCAGTTAGTTTGCTCTAAGTAGCATTAAGTCTAGATCAAATTCAAAATATTATAAACCACATTAAGCTGTGTAGTTCTATTGCTCGTAAGAATTATTCAAGATGATGTAAAATATGACATCGCTTTCTAAACCGTTCCATTTGCAGCAAACAGCCTTTCTAGCAGTGTTCCTAGAAGAACAGGTTTTTTGCTAGAAATGGGTTTCCTGCAGCGTAAGTATGAACACTTGAGGATAGAAATAGGATGATCCAGAGCTCAGTGGCCATTCGGGTGCTTTCCATGCTAAAGGTCTCAGGTTCAGGTGCAGATTTTGCAAGATGAGGTCAACAGTTATAGGATCTAGCTTCCTAAATTTCAAGCTATTGTTTCATCAGCTTTGATTGCAAAACTGCCTTCCATTCCTGATAGGAAATCAAAAGTAGCAGAGATTTTAGAGGATCCAATCCTTGTCCATACATTTCCACAGTGGGGATAGAATAGAATAGAATAGAATAGAATAGAATAGAATAGAATAGAATAGAATAGAATAGAATTGGAAGGGACCTTGGAGGTCTTCTAGTCCAACCCCCTGCTTAGGCAGGAAACCCTACACTACTTCAGACAAATGGTTATCCAACATCTTTTTAAAAACTCCCAGTGTTGGAGCATTCACAGCTTCTGGAGGCAAGCAGTTCCACTGACTAACTGTTCTGTCAGGAAATTTCTCCTTAGTTCTAAGTTGCTTCTCTCCTTGATTAGTTTCCACCCATTGCTTCTTGTCCTGCCTTTAAGGTGCTTTGGAGAATAGCTTGACTGCCTCTTCTTTGTGTCAGCCCCTGAGATATTGGAACACTGCTATCCTGTCATCCCTAGTCCTTCTTTTCATTAGACTAGACCAGGGGTCTTCAAACTTGGCAGCTTTAAGACTTGTGGACTTCAACTCCCAGAATTCCTCCTCATGTCATGTTAGCTCAGGAATTCTGGGAGTTGAAGTCCACAAGTCTTCAACTTGCCAAGTTTGAAGACCCAGGATCTATTCTATCTGCCTGCCTGTCTATCTATTCTCTCTATCTGTCTATCTATTCCAACTCTTTATCTATATATTCTATCTATCTATCTATCTATCTATCTATCTATCTATCTATCTATCTATCTATCTATCTATCTATCTATCTAATCTATTCTATCTTTCTCTCCCTCTCCCTCTATCTATCTATTCTATCTCTCTTTCTATCTATCTATTCTACCTCTCTTTCTCTATCTATTTATTCCAGGGGTCTTCAAACTTGGCAGCTTTAAGACTTGTGGACTTCAACTCCCAGAATTCCTCCTCCAGTCATGTTAGCTCAGGAATTCTGGAAGTTGAAGTCCACCAGTGTTAAACTTGCCAAGTTTGAAGATCCTTGGACTAGACATACCCAGTTCCTGCAAATGGAGAAGTGATCAAAAATGCCGCTCTTCCTCTTTCTTTTAGCACAAGGGGGGGGGGATTTTATGATGAGCAAAAAGCCTGTCCCATGAGCAAGAACCAAATTCTGCATCTAAGCTAGCATTTCCCATGCCTTCCTTTCCATCCAAATCACCCCCACAAAGGAAGCCTCGGAGCAAAAGCTGCGGAGAAGTGCCTTAGAATAGCCCATCCTGTCTACTGCACTCCTCATCCAGAAGATGGGGCTTGGAAATAAACTGTCTCCGAAACCCAAGGACGTTCTCCAAAATCTAGCCACAGATGTGCAAGATGTTCAAAGCAAACCCCCTTCTAAAAGATGGAGCCGGGGCTTCAGTTCACAGCAGACTTTAATTTCTTTCACTCTGGTGACAACCTTGGCACGCACTCCCAAGTCTACCTTATGGCGACCATTCAAGGTTAATAAGGGAGATAGGGACTCTCCATCGGCATGAAGTTTTTCCCAAGCAACCTGGGCCCTCCATACCAAGGTCAGAAATGTTTTGGTTTATGGAACCAGTGAATCTTCTCTACCCTTGTTTTGACGTTGCTAGTGTCGTCTAATCTGAAGCTCTGCCCTTGTTATAAAACAAAGCTCATCGTGGAGCAGGATTCATTAAGTGGCAGGATCAACAACAGCGGAGACAGATACTGGTTGAAGCTGGCTGTAGACCCTTCCACACTTAGGTGTTTTCTTTGCATTTCTACCCACAGCTGAGCAGATTGGCTGGGGACAACAATGCTTCTGGAAATCCTGAATCCGATGCACTACAATATCACCAAAGTGGTATCCGAAAGCATCCCGACAGTAGCTACTCTACCACTCTTGCTCTTGATGGGATTCCTTTTCCTGATCTGGACTTGCGAAGAAACATCTTCCATACCAGGTAGGCCTTTTTTTTTTTTTAACAGAATAACAGAGTTGGAAGGGACCTTGGAGATCTTCTAGTCCAACCCCCACCAAGTTTCAAAATGTGAACATTGAAAAAAAATGTTCCTATTTAAGGAGGAACTAAGAGAGGGTAGGGGACGGTGTAACTTGGTCAACCTGTTTTTGTTTTGTTTTTTCATTTCGGATTATGTGTCACTCCCTTTCTAAAGGGTTGGACCTATCATGAGAACCTACGAGAATTTGCTTTGCTCAATGTTTTTATTTTCTATTTGTTTTTAAAATTTGTCGAGCCACCCGTCTCACGAGCGCAAGTGACGCTGGGTAGCATCCAATCAATTATGTTTTGGCTTTGACGGGTGTTGGAATCCAGTCCTTGTGTTTTATAAACCATGATTTGTGGCACCGCATGTTCTGTGAACCCAGCTCATGCTAGTTTTTTCAACAAGCTGCGGTCAAACTAATCACAGTTTTGTAGGAGGTGTAAAGCCAATCTCTTAGGAGATGTTTCTTAAATCCAAAAAGCTGCTGCAACTTTTGTTTTTCGTTTTTTTTTCTCAAGAGGGGCTCAAAATAATTTTGAATTACTCTTTTGAGGGGCACAAAATGTACATAACATTTTAAGAGTTTTTAAACATCTGACTCTTCGTAGTAGCTGTATTTGCCCAGCAAAATTAATCTGGTTCTTTAAATGTGGATGTTAAATTGAGAAAACATTCTGTGCTTGGTTGACGCTACAGGAGACTTCACATATTGTGCAGCTCCAATATCCTACAATGATATGTTATCGATTCTTACACTCCTTTTGTGTGAGTAATATGCAGAGTGGTTTTATATGGGTCTACTCGGGAATAACATAAGGCTGGTTCTTGGGTAAATGCTCCCCCTTTATTGAACAGACATAGCTTTCATGAAGACGGATTCCCACTGAAGTCAATAAAACTTATTCCTGCACAAATATTACCACCTTAAGTCTTTAAAATATTCATTTTGCACGTGTAAAATTTCTGGGAGCATTGAATCACTGGCCGTCCTGAAAGATGAAGGCAGTACCCTCTGCCAGCCAAGTCTGGCACAAACTGTTGGTTTTCTCACCTCTGGTTAAATCTAATTTGCAAGCTGGAACCCGGCGTTTTTCAACCTTGGCAGTTTGATAACTTGTGGAATTCCAGAATTTCATAACTTGAAGCATAACTTGAAGAGGTGTGGACTTCAATTCCCAGAAAGGTGGCTGGAGAATTCTGGGAGAGGAATCTAGATGTCTTCAAGCTGCCAAGGTTAAGAAACCCCAGGATATCCTGAAGACTGTTTTGGAGGTTTCAGTTGTCTTTTTTTAGGCTGAATTATATATGCCCGATAGATAGATAGATAGATAGATAGATAGATAGATAGATAGATAGATAGATAGATAGATAGATAGATAGATAGATAGATAGAATAGACAGACAGACAGACATTTGCAATGTAAGGCTGTGAAAGTTGGATGGGATGGGATTCAAAAATCCAGGCAACTGGGTTCTCTGCCCCGCTGCTGGGTGGGCGTGGCCATGGTGGGTGTGGCCTACCGGAACTTCTTGTTTCTGGCTTCCGGTGGGCCTCCCAGAGGAGGCAGTTTTCACCCTCCCAAGGGCCCAGAGGCTTCCCCCGGCCTCTCAAGGCCTTCCGGAAACTGGAAACAGGCCTGTTTCCAAACTTCTGGAAGACCCATTTTTCCCCCTCTCAGAGCCTCCATGCAGACCCTGCACTTAGCTGCATTGCATGGAGACTTCTGGGAGGGGAAGGGTGGGCAGGGCCAGTTGGTCGGTTGAAATACCAGTTCAGCGAACCAGATGTAAGTTTAACATCCGGTTCGCCTGAACTGGTCCAAACCGGTAGAATCCCACTCCTGAAGTTGGACCATAAGAAGGGCTGAGTGCCAAAGAATGGAGGCCTTTGAACTCTGGTGCTGGAGAAGATTCCTGTGAGTCCCTTGGACTGCAAGGTGATCAAACCGGTCAGTCCTAGAGGAGATCAACCCTGACTGCTCTTTAGATGGTCAGATGCTGAAGGTGAAACTCAAAGACTTTGGCCATCTAATGAGAAGGAAGGACTCCCTGGAGAAGAGCCTATTGCTGGGAAAGATTGAGGGCAATAGAAGAAGGAGGGGATGGCAGAGAAGGAGGTGGCTGGATGGGGTCACTGAAGCAGTTGACGTGAGATTAAATGGACTCCGGAGAATGGTAGAGGACGGGAAGGCCTGGAGGAACGTTGTCCATGGGGTTGCGATGGGTTGGACACAACTTCGCAACTGACAACAATAAATATATGCCCTGGAGGAAGAGTTTAACTCCATTTAAGAAAGGAAGACATTTTTCCCAAACCATAGGGCAGCTGGTCCCAAACTTTGCAGCTTGGTGGCCCAGCTTGGGGTGGGGGGGTGGGGGAGAGGGGAATTGGGCCATACTAGCAGTGGGCTGGTGTGCATATGTGCAGCCCAATTGGTCCGAGTGGCAGGCCGGCCCGCCAATGCCCAGCTCAACTTGTAAGAGCAACAGGTTGGGGTGCATGACACAAGTGCCCACCAGCCTGCCACTTGCGCAAGATGAGTTGCATGCATGCATGCGCCAGCCACTCACACAGCTCAGTTCCAAACAGGCCACATCCTGGTAGTGGGCTACGGGCCAGAGGTTGGGGGGCCCTTCCCATATGGGACCCCCTTCTCCTGGCCTCTTGAACCATTGGCCCACTTGGTGAAGACATCAGAAGCTGGCATTTGCCCATATTTAGAAAGTACAGGTTCCTCAGTCCTACCCCACATTTATACTTCAACTCAGCCATCTCTGCAAAGTGTCCTTTATTGCCTTTAGACAACATTATAAGCATTGACATTGGTTTGTCCATTTGTGGCATAGCATGGTGTGACCTCCTCCGTTCCAGTTAACGGCTTATTGTTTTCGTGGAAATCTGTAAGAGGTGGTTTGTTCTGTAAACGCCGGTTAAACCCTTCATGTTTTAGCAAGAGGGCGAATACACAGTATGCAATTAAAGTCTTATGTTTATTGCTGATAAAATTCATAACTGATCCCTCCTGGCTGCCTGCCTGCCTTCTTCTCTATTTTTCTCACCTTTCTTTCTTTCTTTCCTTTCTTTCTTTCATTCCTTCCTTCTTTCCTCCTTCATTGCTACCTTCCTTCCCTGTCTCCCTTTCCTCCGTTTCCTCTATCTTTCCTTCCTTCCTTCTTTCCTTCCTTCCTTCCTTCCTTCCCTCCCTTTCCTCTATTCATCCTTCCTTCCCTTTTCTTCCATTCCCTCCCCTCCTTTCTCCTCCCTTCCCTTCTCTGCCTCCTATTACCTTTCAGGACCTGGTTACTGCATGGGACTTGGCCCCCTTATCTCCCACGGGAGATTCCTTTGGATGGGAGTGGGCAGTGCCTGCAATTACTACAACAAGGCGTACGGAGAGTTTATGAGAGTCTGGATCAATGGAGAAGAGACCCTGGTCATTAGCAAGTAAATCTTTCTTCTCTATCAATACGGGGGGGGGGCAAAGGGGCAACAAAGCCTGTGAGATCCTTCAGCTTAGATCTTTATCTTGCTCGCTCGGTGGAACTGACCGTAGAATGAAAACCGCACTCTTCGTCCCTTAATTTCCACCCTCCCCTAAAAATTAAACTGCTGGTTCTTGTTTTCCGCTTAAATGATGGCACTGACATTTTTTTTAAGCTTCTATCGCCCTCTAAAGGGAATTCGGTTCTGCAGCTGTTCAAACACGGATAGCAAGAAGCCAATTTTCTAGCTCATCTGAGCACAGCGAAAGAGTCTCGGGTGTATGACCGCTTTCGTTCCCTTCCTTCTCCGTGACCTACTCTTGGTGGACAGTGACAATCCACGCAAGTTGGAGAAGGAAGCAGGTGGCAGGTTTAGCCAAGAGACCCTTATTGGGAGGTAGACAACCTCGTTGTGATGGGGTTTTTTTCAGGGTTGTCCTTGAAAAGAATTTTAAAAAAAAACTGGCCTTGAATTGGCTCTGGGTAAACTATTGGTTGCAATTTGAGGATCTAAATTCGAGCATCTAAAGCCCTACAGGGCGTGAGGCCAACTAACTTGTGGCATCATCTACTTCTGGATGTTTCTGCCCTTCTCGCAAGGTCTGATGGTGTGAGCGTGCCCTGGGTAACCTCTGTAGACGAAACTGTGGTGGCACAGTGGTTGAAAATGCAGTATTGCAGGCTAACTCTGCCAATTGCCAGCAGTTTGATCCTGACCAGCTCAAGGTTGACTCGGCCTTCCATCTTTCTGAGGTCAGACCCAGATTGTTGGGGGCAAGATGCTGACTCTATAAACAGCTTAGAGAGGGCTGTAAAGCACTATGAAGCGGTATATAAGTCTAAGTGCTACTGCTGTCCCTCTAGGTGGGACTCAGGAGTTATGACTTCCCCATGATGGCTCTTATCCTCTTGAACAAGATGGGCTTCAAGTCCTGCTGATCTTCTGAAAGCCTTGAAGATCTGACTTTTGCCCCAGACATTGGATGTCAGTAGAGCCTGATAAGTGTGCTTTATATTATGTTACTAGAAAAATCCAGCCCATTAAAACAATACATTAATGAGAAGCTGCACAGTCGTCAGGAACAGAATTCTTGCAAGCTTCCACATTTCTCTTCTACCATTTCAGTTGATCTAAGTATGGCATAACTTTAACCCTAGGCAGAATTTGATGAAGTCTTTTTCTTCTTCTTCTTCTTCTTCTTCTTCTTCTTCTTCTTCTTCTTCTTCTTCTTCTTCTTCTTCTTCTTCTTCTTCTTCTTCTTCTTCTTCTTCTTCTTCTTCTTCTTCTTCTTCTTCTTCTTTTTCTCCTTCTCCTCCTCTCATTCTTCTTCTTCTTTCTCCTTCTCCTCCTCTCATTCTTCTTCTTCTTCTTCTTCTTCTTCTTCTTCTTCTTCTTCTTCTTCTTC